TAGATAACATTTAATACATATTTAGGATACATATATAAAGCAACCTGGCACAAAACCATAGATAGAATTCAGATGAAGCAGTCTATGTCTAAGATATAAGTAAGGTAGTATTTACCTAAAATATAATAACATCTAAAATTTCAAAAATTTGATGACATCTAATACTGTTGCTAGCATAAGTAACTCTTCACACTGGGAAGCCACAAGAACAACAGACCACCTGCCCAAAGTACAAAGAAAGAAGGTCCATCTTAATTTGGTACTGAATAACTTGATTTTAAATAATATTATAAATAAAAAGAAACATTCTTTCTTTCCGTTGGCCTAGATTGCCATCTGGCTTTCCAAATATAGTTATTCCTGTGAGGTTTTTTTTTTTTTTAAAATTAACAATTGCTGAAATGAATCAACTTAAGCATTGGAGCCATTATCCTCTCCTACCCATCCTCCTGCAAATAAAATAAATAAATATCATATATATTTTAGTAAGTCAGTCACACAACAGATTTGAAGATGTGCAAAACTGTGCAGTCCTTTCCTAGAAATTTATATATATTTTATATATATGTATGTATGTATGTATGTATGTGTGTGTGTGTATATATATATATATATATATCCATATCCATATCCATATCCATATCCATATCCATATCCATATCCATATCCATATCCTAGTGCTTATCCATAACCTATGCATAACAACAACCTTAAAATAATGCAGCTCAACTACTGTATCTGACCATGGCAATATAGAGTGGTAATTCCATGAAACCAGTATAAGGAGCCCGTCAGTCTAGAAATCAGATACAATTAATCAAAGAAGCTAAAGAATGTGCAATGCCAAAATCCTGCTCCCCTTTGAATCATTTCCATCATTCCTCTGTTCTGAAAACAGACTTTTTAAACTTGTATTTAGTATGTTCTTTTCAGCCAAGAACCCCATTAAGTAATGTAACCCATATGTGTATAACAATTCCGGTTCTGTACAAAGCTGATTTATAAGCTCCAACTAGTATGTATAACATTTTGATCGCTTTAATACCTATAGGCATACAAGAGGAGAGGATGGCTTTTAGCCCTGGCCAAAATACCAACATTTGGTTAGTTTTTTAAAACTATCAAAGAAAGCAATGCTTCATTTGATAGTATTATTTTCTCCAGCCGCAGCAATGACATAGAGAAAGTTAAAAGCTTTCCTTTATCAGACAACAATGTACAAAGAAAAGGTTTTACCACTGTTTGCTCAGTCTTTATTCAGATCATTGGGAGCTCTTTACAAAGTTACACTGTACTCACACCCGGTGTACAGTAACCACTCTCTGTGGTTTGAGGAATGAACTTCGTCATACAACGCCCCGTAGATTCAGAAACATTTTTATCTCTTTTTCCTTAAGATTAAGCTTTGCCTAGCTGTTCAAGGGTGCAAAGGCATACTGATATTAAAGTATATCCTCTTTGTTTACTTACCTGGGTTTGTATATCAGTTCAAAGGATATTTTTGAACTTCAAGAATATTAAAAACTGAATAAATTGTCCTTGACCAGTAATATAGTGTTTTCAGTCATCTCTGAACATCTGATCATAATAATGTGAGAAATTGCTTGTATTTCTGTGTATAAGGCTGCTGAAAAACAAGTCTTTTCTTGCACATCCTTATGAATGCACTATGTTCTGTCAGCATTCTTTTTACAAGTTAGAGACTTATCTATTACTTATACGATTCATGGTTATAAGCATAACTTGCAAGGAAGGAAGAATCATCTCTGTGCTAACAGTAGTTTATGTCATTTCATTTCTAAAACTATACTCTTATAATTTTATGGCAAACAACCTTATACTACGATCTGTCCCTATTCAAACAGATTAAAACTCTATATTCTAAGAAACAAATACATATACACATACTCTGCCCAGCATGTATTTATTTATTTATTTATGCATACATAAATGTATAACACATTTATGTATGCATAAATAAATAAATAAATTTAGGTTACTATCCTCAATTTAAATTACCTGATTTTTTTTTTTTAACCTATTAGTGTAGAGTAGCAATTCTTACCTAATGTATATATATAAAAAAGAAATGCCATGCCTGGGAAAACAAATTATGAAGAAGGAAAAAGCATGTTGATTCTATATTTATAATTTAAAAGTCTACCTGTTCCTGAAGACTGAAGTTCATATAGCTTGATTTGGGTTGAGTGCTTGGCTCAGTATTTATGACAGGAAGAGAAATCTGCAGAATACAATCAGAGTCAATCTTTTTATGTAGCATGATCAGAAGAAACTGTAGTTAAATAAATAAATAAATATCAGGTTAAAGTTTAACTACAGTTTTAAACTTGCAGAAGAATTTTGGAGTCGTTTTCTTCTTTGGGGAACCGTAAGACCTTCAAGTGAAGTAGGAATTCAAAAGAAAAATGAATAAATACAATAAACATTTAAACAGGAAGCCAAACTTTGGTTTAAAAAGAAACAAATTATGCCATGTGGGACAGAATATGAATTCCATTGATATACAGGTGAAACTCGAAAAATTAGAATATCGTGCAAATGTTCATTTATGTCAGTA